TCATGAGGGCCGTTACTTGGCTGTGTTTGCTGCTCCTTGAGAAGTCAGTTTAAAGGGCGCTCTGCACCTGCCGCTTCGGCTCTTGCTTTGATCGGCCGTCGTGGCCTAAGTCAGTTCTATGCTAATCTCTCGCCGCATAGGTTGCATACCGAACCCCCTCTTGTGCACATTTATCTGGCCAGGCAAAATAGCGAGCAATTGGCTTCAGCTAGCCGCCAGTATAAATAAATATTATAACGTTATAAATCCAAAGTCTTTTAACTGATTTTGAAAAGATATAGGTGCCAAAAAAGCTTGGCATCTGAAACACATTTTTTTTTTACCAAATTTGAGTTTTTTTTTGATTATTTTTTTAATTTCTAGGAACCGATTTATAGAAAAGTAAAAACTTTTGTATAGAAACAATGCCACATACTCTGGCTATCATTTAAAAAAAAACTGCATGCAATTTGGTCCACGCGTTGCGGAGATAGCCGCTTACACACAGATTTTGTATCTACAAATCTTCTATATATCTATAAAAATCTCGTGTCACGGTGTTTGTGGTTGAACTCCTCCCAAACGGCACGACCGATTACATTTACGCTGTGGCCCAAAAGGACTTTTTCTGTTAGATTTCGAGGTTTAAAAATTTTAAACGAATTATTGTTTTATTTTTATGGTTTAGTTTTTTTTTAAGAATTTTTAAAAATATGTTTTTTTTTTTATGTTTTTTTCATAGGTAGTGCTTTTATTTTTAACATAACTTAAGTATCTTATATCTGGTTGCAATTATAAAAACCTGACAAATGCAGCTATAAGTCCGACCTACACTTTTTGTAGCTGCAGCTTAACTCCCAGAAAATATTAAGCTTTCAAATTCAAATTTCATCATTTTTTTGGGTTTTTTTTTTCCCGTAATTTTAACTAAAACGAGAAGGAACGTGCGAGTCGCTTCTGGGGACGCGACTCTACTTATACCCGTACTCAATCAGTATATACATTTTTGAGCATATGATTTTTTAGAATTTTAGAATTACAAAAAAAATTTTACATTTTACATTTTTTTGCTACATCTGTTATCTACATCTACAATGTATATTCTACATCTAACATGTAGATTATACATGTACCATTTAGATTCTACATCTCCTCCGCTAGAGGTTGCTCGCGCACTGAACGCGGTAAAGTGTGCGAGCGAGAAGGAAAATGAGTTGCGTTGTCGTTGGCAGGGGGAGGCAGAGGAAGCGAAGGGGCGAAATTTTGAAATACACTTGTAGCAGTGTGATATCACATGAGTCTGGAAACCAAATTTGGTTGCTCTAGCTTTTATAGTCTCTGAGATCCAGGCGCTCATCAAGACGGACAGACGGACATGGCTATATCGACTCGGCTATTGATGCTGATCAAGAATATATATACTTTATGGGGTCGGAAACGTTTCCTTCTCTGCGTTGCACACATCCACTTTTACCACAAATCTAATATACTCTTTAACTCTTTTTGAGTACGGGTATAAAAATTAATTTCAGTTGCTTCCCCCGCCTCCTCCTGCAAGAGACACGCTACTCATTCTCATTTTTTTTTTAATTCTAAAATTCTAAAAAATCATAAGCTCACAAATGTATATGCTGACTGAGTACGGGTATAAGTAGAGTCGCGTCGCTAGAAGCGACTCACACGTTCCTTCTCGTTTTATTCTGGCTATAATTATGATCCGATCTGATTCAGATTCGGCAATCTGGTCGATATGGTCATTCTCTACGATTCTCTACGATGCGTTTTGAGTTTTAACGTATCTTTAAAATTGTGGCTGCCACAGATGTTCGTCCTTTGTATGGGAGGGGCGAAATTTTGAAATACACTTGTAGCAGTGTGAGATCCAGCCGACATGCAAGACGGACAGACAGACATGGCTCGGCTATTGATGCTGATCAAGAATATATATACTTTATGGGGTCGGAAACGATTCCTTCTTTGCGTTACACATCCACTTTTACCACAAATACAATATAACCCAACTTAACTTCGAGTACTGGTATAGAAACAAATGTCAATGTATAAGAGCACAAGTGCTCAGTGCCCATCCCCTGATTCTTACGGGCTTACCAATGATTTTCTAATAACAACAACTAGTACAATATCCTCGCTCAAAACTATGTCTTCGATCACAACATCGACAACAACCACAACAACAACCACTGCAATTGCTCCGCGCCTGGTGGGTCGACACCACTGCGAAAAGCCCCACCTCTACCAAACGATAAGTTCGAAAAGCGCTAACGGAGCGTTAATTCAGACTGGACTCGATCGCTATGTGCAAATCAAAAGAAACGAGAAGGAACGTGCGAGTCGCTTCTGGGGACGCGACTCTACTTATATCCGTACTCAGTCAGTATATACATTTTTCAGCTTATGATTTTTTAGAATTTTAGAATTAAGCAAAAAAAATTTTATCGTATTTTTAAAAATGTGCCTGCCACAGATTTTCGTCCTTTGTGTGGGCGGAAGGGGGCGGGGCGAAATTTTGAAATACACTTGTAGCAGTGTGATATCACATGAGTCTGGAAACCAAATTTGGTTTCTCTAGCTCTTATAGTCTCTGAGATACAGGCGCTCATCAAGACGGACAGACAGACAGACAGACGACGAGACAGACATGGCTATATCGACTCGGCTATTGATGCTGATCAAGAATATATATACTTTATGGGGTCGGAAACGTTTCCTTCTCTGCGTTACACACATCCACTTTTACCACAAATCTAATATACCCCTTGACTATTTTTTGAGTACGGGTATAAAAAGCGCCCACAAACTGCGAAGAACAACAATGCAGCTAAAATAACCGAGAACACTGTGCCACACAAGGCACGAGCAAACAATAGATTTGCGATATTTAGTATCCCAAATGAAGATGAGATCGCCCAAACACCCAAGGCCAACAAATTAAGACCGCCACCTATTTATGTTCGACAGGCAAATTGTGCTGAACTGGTCCAAAAAAATAGCTGATAAAATTGGAGCACGTCCATAAAAAGGGGTAACATAAATGAAACAAAAATACAAGTCAATGACGAACAAAACTATCAATCAGTTGCGAACTACCTTCAAAATGAAGAAATGAATTACTACATCTACCAACTTAAAAGGAGCAAACAATTACAAGTGGTTATCAACGGAATCGAACAAACAGTCCCAATCAATGTGATAATAGATGGACTTAACGATAAGGGCATCGAAGACAAATTGGCTATGAACATAATAAATAGAAATAAAATTCCCCAGCCAATGTTCAAAGTAGAACTGACACCTGAAAGTACGCATATAAGTAAAAATGAAGTTCACCCAATATACAAGCTTTCAATATCTACTGCACCGTAGGATAACCGTTAAGGAACCACACAAACGAAATGGACCCGTCCAATGCACAAATTTCCAGGAATATGGACACACGAAAAGTTGCACTCTACAGGCAGTCTGCGTTGCCTGTGGTGATGTTCATCTCACTGAGGTCTGCCCCGTAAATAAGGAGGACCGATCTTATGCGCAACCAAAATCTCCTCCTGAAGCTCCTAATCAAACAGTAATCTGTTTAAATGGCCTGTCTAAATATATGTTTCTGGAATGCAAATGGCATTTCACAGCACAAATGCGAGCTCTTACAGTTCCTCGCTCAACACGACATTGAAGCCATGCTCATATCAGAGACTCACCTAACAAATAAAAACTATTTTCACCTCGATGGCTATAACTTCTATGCGACAAATCATCCCGATGGTAAGGCACATGGAGGTACTGGCGTTCTGATCAAGAATCGCATTAAGAATTATACATTGCCTTCATTTTCTACACCTTATCTACAGGCAACAGCAATTCATATTGAAATTCAGAGCCGCTACCTAGCCGCAGTATACTGCCCACCACGCTTCTGCATTTCCGAAACAGAATTTGTAAAATTCGTCGACCAACTAGGTGACTGATTTATAGCAGCTGGTGACTACAATGCCAATCACACCAATTGGGGATCTCGACTTACCAATCCGAAAGGAAGACAACTATATAACGCTATAATAACGCCACGAAACAAGCTAAACTTGATCTCTACGGGCAAGCCTATATATTGGCCCACAGATCCAAACAAGCAACCCGACTTGATTGATTTGGCAGTTACACAAAGGGTGCTGCAAGCTCAGATTAATGTAGATCACTTAACAGATCTATCATCGGATCACCCAATTCCCAACTGCAGCCCGCACCCGCTGCAATGCAGTCACAGCAAAACACTTCCTCAACTCCACTGACCCATAGCCAATTGTCAACGAAGCAACAAGATTCGAGCCGCTTACCACGCCCCAAAATTATTGTCACCCAATAATCATAAGTTAGCAATAATTAATTATTTCCGGGTCAAAGACAGACCGTGGAAACTCACGGTCATAGGTACGATCGCCAGTTGCTTAAAAAGCCCAAGCTCTGCCGAAGAATTAGGCAGACCATCAGCCCGAACCAAAGACACTGCACTATGCAGTCCATCAGCCCGAACTCAAGACACTGCACTAGGCAGTCCATTAGCCCGAACGTAAGACACTGCACTAGGCAGTACATCAGCCCGAACCCAAGAGGTGAGCAGTCTACCACCCCGCAGCACAAGTAGCAAGACAAGCAGGTTCAAATTCTAAACAAACCAAGACAATAAAAGCATTAAAAATAATAAAAAAAACGACAGAAGTTATCAGGTCATCAAATTTCCCACCTTGCCTACCACTCTTTCGGTCATTCTAGGCCAGCCCCGAATCTTAAGTTGCAGCAGATCTACAAATTTCTTGTAGAGGACCCTGGACGGGCTGATGCATATCCCTGCCTGAAATAAGGTATCTTAGAACAAGTACAAAAAAAGTATATTAATAGGGTACTAGCCAAAATCATTGTAGTACAGATTTGAAGACAGAAAAGAGAAAAATATAAAATAGCTCAGACATTTTGGACTGACAAAATAAAAAAGTTGAGCCGGTACTTACTTTAATGCATCTTGAGGATGGCTAATTGGCTTTATAGAAGCGCCAGTAATTTCGATTTGTCCATTAGTAGCTTCATGAATTTTGAAACTTGTGTTTTTATTGAATGGGTCCAAGAGATCGAAAATATCCTCATTATACAACTCTATGTACTGAACAGCAAGACTGAACTGTGGACTTCCAATGGCAGATGTCATTTGACTGGAGGTAGTTTCAAAATCTTCGATACCAGCAAATATGTGTTGAATCGCTCTAGGTATAATCCCAAGTTGAATGTCATCAGATTCACGGTCAAACCCAGTCCCCATTGTATATGTTTTCCCTGACCCCGTTTGTCCGTATGCAAGTACTGTAGCATTATAGCCTTGTAGGGTACTCTCAACCAATGGCTCCACGCTTTCATTATATATTTGACCCTGAGAAAAAGGTTTGAATTTGTATTTACACAATGTTTGAAAATGAACTACAACCAAACTACCTGATTTGAAGAACTATCATACACATAGTCAAAAGTGAAAGCTTTGTCCGATCCAAGAAGAATTTGAGGCTCTCCAATTGCGACTGTTGTACAAATACGGCACATATCGATAAGCTCTCTTGAATTTTGAGGTCGGATTCTGAAATACCAAAAGAAAAAACTTAGTTTTTTAGTAAAAAAAAACGAGAAGGAACGTGTGAATCGCTTCTGGGGACGCGACTCTACTTATACCCGTACTCAGTCAGTATATACATTTTTGAGCTAATGATTTTTTAGAATTTTAAAATTAAAAAAAAAAAAATTTTACATTTTACATTTTTTTGCTACATCTGTTATCTACATTTAAATCTACAATGTATTTTTTACATCTAACATGTAGATTATAGACGTACCATTCATATTCTACATCTCCTCCGCTAGGGGTTGTTCGCGCACTGAACGCGGCAGAGTGTGCGAGCGAGAAAGAGAATGAGTCTCTGGCAGGGGGAGGCGGAGGAAGCAACTGAAAATTAATTTCTTCATTTTGGCTATAATTATGATCCGATCTGATTTAGATTCGGCAGTCTGGTAGATATGGTCATTCTCTACGATACTGCGTTTTTAGTTTTATCGTATCTTTAAAAATGTGCCTGCCACAGATTTTCGTCCTTTGTGGGGGCGGAAGGGGGCGGGCGAAATTTTGAAATACACTTGTAGCAGTGTGATATCACATGAGGCTGGAAACCAAATTTGGTTTCTCTGGCTCTTATAGTCTCTGAGATCCAGGCGCTCATCGAGACGGACAGACGGACATGGCTATATCGACTCGGCTATTGATGCTGATCAAGAATATATATACTTTATGGGGTCGGAAACGTTTCCTTCTCTGCGTTGCACACATCCACTTTTACCACAAATCTAATATACCCCTTAACTCTTTTTTGAGTACGGGTATAATAATATAGTTTATACTGTACTCTTACGACATAAAGTAAATTTGTGCTCGCACTTGTCATGAGAAAAACAAAGAAAGATATAAAGGAACCACGACTTTTTATGTTGCAATATTAATTCTTGCGCGTTTTTCCATCTACCAAACGACCTCTTTTATTTTAATTGTAAAATATTTTATCTACATACAGAAAGATGTAGCGTAATATAAACGAAAAGGAACGTGTGAGTAGCTTCTGATGACGCGACTCTACTTATACACTTATACAATCAGTATATACATTTTTGAGTTTATGATATTTTAGAATTTCAGAATTTAAAAAAAAATTTTACATTTTACATCTTTTTGCTACATCGGTTATCTACATCTGTTCAGGCAACAGACCGAACAGGGCAGCAGCGCTGTTAACAAGACAGCGTAACAGTCATAGCCGCTCCCGTGGACAGCTCTGTTAGCGCTCTCCGACATCCGCACGGCTCCCGAGCGGGCTTAACATATAAGCTAGCATATGTGACGCTTTGGACTACCGGTCAAACTAGTCTCCTTCTACCCCCCGAACGGCTTCGTCTTTCCAAATCGATTCCGAGTGCGATTTGGTTTATTCCCCGCCAAGTCCGAGATATATGTATTCTTATGTATTCTTATATACATATCTGTTCATACAGTGCTATCCAGTTTCTGTTTTACTTATCGGCGATTCCGGCCGTTCTCCGTTCCTTCACCTCCAACTATATGTGTTACGGTAGTGCATCCATTCCGCTTTGTCTGTGCTTACGCTTGTGAAGTTAAATATACAAATATTCACCCAAATCCAGCCGCACAAAAAAGACAACAAAACATCCAGTTAACAAGAACGGCTGATCTACATAAGTGCATAAATACACGCCCATACATATATTGCCATACTCCAAGTGCAATCCACCCCCATAATAAATACGCGCTCTCAACATTTCTTAAGTGTTTTACATAGTTACATACTTAAATACATTTCACACAGCAAATTGGGTTTATCAGGGGTGCCACAGAAATCACTTCAGCTGGAAAATCACCTCAATTCCCTTTCGCGGTGCCACACACCGATTTTTCAGCGGAATCAAAATCGCTCACAATTTATCCAGCGATTTGATTAAATACACCCATAAACACACACCTAAAGCGATTCGAATCTTGCTTTCCCATAAAGGTTGTTTAATTGGTGATTAACCCTCATCCAAATAGTTCAACATTATACATGTTAAAGGCCTGCCTCCAGCACCGCGGAAAATTGCGGCAAGGAATTTGCTAGTTATTCCGTGAGGGTGTGGAACATAGCTAAAACAGGGTTGATGAATCAGCTGTGTTTTGTAAACAGAGGCAACTGTAAAATTCTGCTAAAATTAAAAAAGGAAAAAAATGCACTCTGATGATGAAGTGATTGTGTTGGTGGCGGCATATATTGTTGCAAAACAAAAAAAAATAATTTTCATCTCTCTTTTTGGTTTTGCGGACAGTTTTTGCAAGCATCTCGTACCCCTGTTCGGCTAAGTGCAGACCCATGACAGCACAAATAGAAGCATACCGATCATTATACCAAAAACTGGTAATTGTAATTAGCAGTAGTTTGAGCAGACAATCACAAAAACCACATACGTATCGTCTGAACGCGAAAACAAGTCCCATGCGCATTTGAGAAGCCTGCGCTGCAAGGTTTTTATTCTAATATGTTGCCTCCGTAGCTCTTCGATGGCCAACAGTCTCGGTAAAAGCATTTTAATTAAATGTACCGTAAAATTCAAATGTCTCTTTTTTTTAACAGCTGATTGCTGCCATGCACGGAGAGTTGCCAAATACATTTTTTTGTTTGACTCGCACGATAACTGATGTTTTTTTGCTTTGAAATTATAAAAGTACAGCATTGAAAAATACATTATTTTATATCATAAAAGAAAAAAATAAATACCAATTGTTTTTTTGTCTGGACGTTGATATGCAATTACTTCACCATCAAGTGGCCCATGGGACACCAAGCCGATGCCTGTTACACGAGGAACCCAGGCAGAAACGCAGCCCCTCCTCCCGCCCAAGCGACCTAGGGGCGCAGCCGCATGACGTGCGACGCGTGTTACCGAATCGATCACGAGCATGCAGGAAAGATAGGTGTTTGACTAAAATTCGAGGAAAATTAGAGCTAAGCACAACTCAAAGAGCCAAACAAGCAAAGATAGCTAAGAAATAGTACTAATTACGGGAAAGGTATGTTAGTATTAGTGATTTAAGAAGAGGAATGCAATTAGTAGTGGATATTATATGGTAGAGGGAATTGAAGTCCGAGCATAGGACCCTAAATGATTCGTGCAAGGAATAATTCGATCTACAAAGCGGAAGGAACAAAGGAATAAAGTTCTTAGTAGATCTAACAGGAATCGTAAAGCTTATGCGGCTCAACAAGTCAGGGCTATCTACGTCACCCTTCATCAGGTTGTGCATAAAAAACACACCAAGCATTTTTCTACGACTAACTAAGGTTGGAAGGTTTATTAAAAGCAATCTACGAGGATAAGATGGCAGTCTCACACCTGCATCCCAGTTAAGGCCACGCAGAGCAAAAAGTAAAAAGTTTTTCTGGACTGATTCTATACGGTCCTGGTGTCCTTTGTACTGGGGGCACCATACACAAGAGCCGTACTCTAAAATCGGACGAACAAGCGAGATGTAGAGAGTCTTCGTTATATAGGGGTCGTCAAATTCCTTTAACCACCTCTTTATTAACCCAAGCACGCCCATGGCCTTATTTACCATGGTAGAAGTGTGTTCAGAACACTTTAACTTGGGGTCTAGTTTAACACCAAGATCATCAACCAAGGTAATTCTCTTAAAAGAGGCTATAAGGAGCCAAAAGGGGGCTGGAGCGATGAAATGTCATTACTTTTCATTTCGAGGCATTTAGGTGTAACATATTTTCACAACACCATGACTGAAAGTTATTGAGATCGTATTGCAAGCGAGAGTGAAATTAAATGTCCTTATACTGGACACAGAGTTTAACATCATCCGCATACATGAGTACTCGAGAGTTTGTTAATACTGAAGGCAGAACATTAATAAAGAGTGTGAATAGTAGGGGACCTAGATGGCTGCCCTGTGGTACTCCAGAAGTAACCTTAACAGGTGAAGAGAAGGAGTTTTTGAAGAGGACTCTTTGAGACCTAGAACGAAGGTAATTAGAAATCCAACTCAAAAGATTAGGTTGAAACCCTAAAAGGTCAAGTTTTTGTGCTAGGAGGGAATGGTTTACAGAATAGAATGCTTTGCTGAAATCAGTGTAAATGACATCGTTGCAAGTTACCTTGGAAGCCTTTAATGATAAAAGAGGTAAACTCTAATAAATTTTTGGTTGTTGATCGTCGCCTTATAAATCCGTGCTGGGACGATGTGATTTGCAGAGATGTTGCAAATACAGAGTTAAAATTGTTTCAAACATTTTAGGAATAGCGGATAACTTAGATATACCTCTATAATTATTTGCATCAGACTTGCTACCTTTCTTATGAAGCGGAATAATAAAAGATTCCTTCAAGATGGGGGGGGGGAAGCGTAAAGAGTTAATGGATAGGGTGAATAGTTTAAGCAGGGGTCCACAGAGAGCGTCGGCACAGTACCTGAGTACACAGCCGGGAACTCCGTCGAGACCTGGTGAAAACACCGGCTTAACTAGTCGAAGATTATGAAGCAGTGAGCTTTCATTCAACAAGGGGCTGAAGATGGCCTTCGACCTTGGTAAACTGTATGGATACGGCTGACCAGAGTAGCTTTCATGAGAATATGTTGTTTGGAAAAATTTGACAAAAGGGCAATTGCCTGATCATTGTTTTCTGACATATCGAGAATTGATAGCGAGGATGGATGTGCGGACGTTCTACGCTTACTATTTACGAAGCTGTAAAACTGCTTAGGGTCCTGTGAAAATCGTATTCTGCATCGAGATTGGTAGTTTTTATAGCATTGAGCGTTAAGAACGGAGAAATTTGACCGATCTATTACATAGTGAGAAAGAGAAGAGGGAGAACCAACTTCTCGAAATTTTTTATAAAGTCTTGATTTTAAATTTTTTAGACTGGATACCTCTTTGGTAAACCAAGGAGGCTTTCCAGATCTAACCGAAAAAAAAGAGAGTGGGACACAAGAATCAAAAAATGTGTCAAGTACATTGTAAAAAATGTTTGTGCCTT